TGGGGCAGTGGGATTTTAGTAAGCCTGGCAACAATTCTGCAGTCAACCTTGGCAAGACTGAGTGCCAGGCAGGGCCTAGGGACCCATGGTCTGTGCTTAAAGCCTCCCGCCCACTAGGAATTATTTACCTCCAGAGATTTCTTTTTTTTTTTTTTTTACTTTAAAGGGGAGGTGCACTGTACACCCTCCTCCACTGGGAGAATGGGGGGCTGGTGCCTACCTACCTACCCTCACCCCCCCACCAACACACAAATACACAAGAACTAAGGCACAGCTAGGGCGGGCAGGCATGCTTTGGCAATGAGGCCCCTCAGGAGGCCAGGCATGAACAGCTGAAGTGAAGGGTGTGGGGTGTGTGGAGCTCAGCACCTTTGGGGGTGGGGTGGAGGGAGACAGAAAGGTCTCAGGGCTCCCGAAGGAGGAGGAAGAGGTAACTAGGAAACAGGCTACAGGAAAAACCAGAGGTGAGAAGAGGCAGAGGGGGACTGGGGAGAAACAGTTGGGCGCAAAACACAATGTGGGCAAGCAAACAAAACAGGAAGGAAAGGAAGGGAGACAGCAAGAGGAAAGGGAAGAAAAGTTGGAGAAGCATAAAGAAAAGAGAGAGGGAAGAAGGACTCAGAGGAAAAAGAACCAACTGCAGACGCTGATGGGAAGAATGAAGAGGTTGGAAGGAGACCGGGAGCCCTTTGTGAGTCTCAGACCTTGACAAACACCAGGCGGGCAGAGTACACCAGGTCAGCCACATACGCCAACAGGTTGATGGCTGTCAAGATGGCCACAGCCAGTCGGCGGTCCCAGTCACACACAAAGTGGGGGTGACGGACAGCACAGGCCCCATCCCTCGCCCGCTGGGAACGGCCACCATACCTCTCGTCGAACTGGTACAGAGGCCAGAGGACCAGGGCAGTGGCATACAGGATGACAGACAGCAGGGCCAGACCTGACAGGAAGCTGGGGAAGGGGATGGGCAGCATATTGGTACAGTCCCCCAGGTTCAGCAAGATGGCTATGGCTGCCAGGATGAAGCAGATGGCATATACTGCCACACACCACTCCAGGGCCGGCTTCTGCTGGTACAGGGAGGGGTTGCTGATGAAGGCGAAGATGATGCAGGCTACAAAGGTCTCTAGCACCTTGAGCAGCCCTGGCACGGTGGCCATGTATCCCGTGATCTCACCAGGCCTTGCCCGGGTCCAGGCTACTTCAGTGGCATAAGCCACACACGCGATGCAGGAGAAAGCGGTGGCTGCGATGGCGTGGTCCCGGGTACGACCGTGAGACAGGAACTGCACGTAGGTGGTGGGGTAGATGATGGAGGACGACAGGCAGAAGAGGGCTGCGTAGCAGGCGTAGGTGATCGGGAAGTTACGCCAAGACAGGGGGAAGCGGGCCTGAAGCCCACCTAACTCCACGATGAGGATGATGAGGGTCACGGAGAAGCAGAAGCACCAGGTGAACATGGACCAGTTACCCATGGGGCCCATCCAGGCACCCACACTGGCCACCAGTGAGAAGGCCACACAGGTGGACAACAGCTGCAACAGGCGCAGGAGGCCCAGGGGCTGGGTCAGTGCGCGAGGGGACCCCACAATCGTTGAAGACCCCAGGCCTGAGGACGTTGTTGTGGTTGTGATGGTCGTGCGGGTCACCGTCACCGCCATGGCTGCAAAAGGCAAAAGACAATGTCTCAGTGAAGTCCCACACAAAGAAATCCCGTGGCCCAGCCCTCATTTGTCCTAGGACAAATTATTCTAGGACATGGGGCTTTCAGTGTGCAAAACAGGACAGTCCCAGGCATATAAGAATGAATTGGTCACCCTGGTTCTTGGCTCAGACTACCTCACCCAAGTCAGATCCCAGAATTCTGGGTCTCTGTATTTCTCCTGCCCCCTCCAGACACTCAAAACTCCTTTCCTCCTTACAGATGGGACTTGGCGACCAGCAACCCAGCCACTTAACATTTTGAATTCTTCTAGATTCAAATAGGAAGACAAGAGGCCTATCTTGCAGGCTCCAAAATCCCCTCTGAAGTTCCTCCTTATGGAGACTGAAGGCTCTACACTCTAGCCCCTGTAAACAAGCTTCCTTCTTTTATGAACTAATAGCCACTCAGACATTTCCGGGTCCTACTTATCCAAGAGTTCAACTTCCACGTGCTGTGTTCTCACATGTCTGATCAGAGCTCCAACCTCCCACCTTGATGGTCTTACAAGCTTCTGGAAGGGGCTGTAAACTGCTGCTCCCACCTCTCTCTGCAGAGGTCAGGAATCAGATTTAGATCTAGAGTACCAAAAACCAAGGAAGGCCAAGTTTTCTCCTTTGTCTGTTCCCTCACACTGAGTGTCCCCTCCCCCAGGAGCCCCCAAGTTCTGGGAAACTCAGCTGCTCCCATTCCCAACTCACCCCACCCCAGCTCCTCGCACTGGAGTCCCTGGCCTCCACCGGTCAATCACTCAGCCCTCAGTCTCAGGTGAGTCACATTCTAGAGACACCTTTCTCCCCACTTCCAAATTATACATCTCCCATGCCTCATCCTAAAGGCCCTCAGGTATCAGGACCAGAGGCTCAGACCCTTCCTCAGGATGCAAAAATGTCTAATCTCAGCTGACATCCCTAAAAATATCTGGACGTGGCTCTCAGCCAAAAACCTTTCCTCTCTCCAGTGTCAGGCTCACAGCAGAACAAGAGCCAGGCCTTACCTCTCCAGAGGCCTGTCCCAAACAGCTCCCAGAGGACACAGAACACTCTACTTCCCCCACGGATGCCTGAGGCCCGATTCCTTGGGAGCCGAGCTTCAGGTCTCTCTTCCCTCAGATGGAGGTCTGGACTCCAACCTTCCTCCCTCAGGCCCCAGGCTCTTCCCTCAGACCCAGGTGGTTAGGACCTCAGGGCACTCACCTGCGGTCTTAGCTGAGCCGGCCAAAGAGAAAGATCCGGCAATGAAGGCGATTCAGTGGTACACCTGGAGAAGACTGGTCAGCGCCCCTGGAGCGGAGAGAGGCCCTGTGTCAGCTCACAGCTGGCTGACCTGGCTCCTCCCCCCAGGGCCCAAGCGGCCAGCGCCGGCCATGGACTCCTCAGCCTCCGCGCGCCTCCGGGTCGGGGCCGGGACTTGGCTCCAAGCCCAGACGCGAAGAGGAGTTGACCCTAGAGAAACACCGCCCCTTCTTCCTCCCCAGATACAAACTGCGGGCGGGAGTGAAGAGAAACAGGCGAAGGAGCACGGCCCGCGGCCAGCGAGGGGCGTGTGCGATCTTAACCCAGCCCTGGCCAGGGAAGTGCGCGGCGCGAGGCGGGAGGCACTGGGCGGTGGCTGCGGGGGCGGGCTGCCCAGCCGCGCGCGACGTCTCCGCGCCTTATAAGGGCTTCAAGTCGGTGCAGCCATCTGGAATGTGGCGCGGACCGAGAGGCGGTGCCGGGACCCCAGACCCGCACTGGCCAGCGCTTTGCCCACCCCTCGCCCGCTGTCAGGGGAGGGGCGCCCCGACCCCCAGGTCCTAGCAGGGATGGCAGGCCGAATTTCTGAGTTCCAAAAGTGTGAGCTCTGTAATTACGGGCCGGGGACCTAGACCTCCATGAAGGAGTACTAAGCTGGGATCCCAGACGCCCGGCTTCACCTTGCGGAGGCCCTCTGGCTCCAGGCCGGAAATCTGGCACAGGATGCCCGGAGATCAGTAGCCACACATTCATGAACGCAGGTCCCCGGCGAGGGCTCGCCTAGCGGGCACCTGGGAGGTGCCACGTGGATGGAGTCAGCCACCTCCAGCTCCCCAGACCCAGCCAGGACCTGTTAGCAGGAAGTCGGGACTAGCCGCACCCCCCTAGCTCCTGAAGGCGGGTACTGCCCAGCCGCCCACCGGAGGGGGAAGGAGGAGTGACTTCCACTCACTCCTAGTGGAAGGTGGGTCTGCAGGGCGGCGGGGAGGGGGATCCTGCGGAGAGGTGGGGGTCCACCCCGCCCAGAAGGCCTCCAGCAGCTGCCTGAGGTCAGAGCTCGGGAATGCAAAGCCGCAGACTCAAAGCTGGGAGAGGAAACGCCCCTTCGGGCTTCCACGCGGAGGACTCCCCAGCCACACCCAGCACCTCGGCGCCCTCCCCTCCATTCCAGGCGCCACACCCATCTCTCCCTAGACACCGAGGCCGCCCCGAACCCCGAATCGGCCTTCCTCCACACCATGAGCTAGACAGCCTGTGCTTTCCTGGCCTCCCTGGCCGGACGGCAGACCCCGCCTTGCAGGGAAGCACAAAGTTCCACCCCGGGAGGGAGAGGATCAGAAATTTTGAAGTACAGCCACTTTCCAAACCCAGGAGTCCCAGTCCCAAGTCCCTCCCCTCTTCCTCTCCAGAGCACCTCGCACACCAGATTCCAGCCCAGCCAGACACCTGGGAGGCCCATCTTGTGTCCACGCCCTCAGGCCCAGGGGTCCCGGCACCACTCCTCCTCCAGTCCACAGCCCTCCTCCCTCAGACCCAGGGTCCAGGTCCCAGCTCTGCTCTTTCAGTCCAGGTTCTCAACTCTCTACTCCGCAGAATCCTGGAATCTTGGTCCAGCCCTAGTCTTTCTAGGGACGTAGACATTGCGAATCACAGCCCACTCCTCCCTCTGGACCCAAGGACATTGAACCGCTGCTCCCGCCCTCTGGGGGGTCCGTCAGCCTCACCTCTTCGGTCAGCGGCGGTTGCGGCTGAAGCAAGCGCGACAGC